CCCCCCCAGATAGTTAGCAATAAAAAACATCTCTGTGCTACAGATAGTAACAAGTACATATTAATTTATCTCCCAGGTTTGAAGCTGTATGATAGTGATGTCCACAGACCATGCTAAACAAACACGTCAGTATAATCTAATAATAGACCTGGGGTATGTTATGATGTATGATGGGATTCCACTGTGAGGGGGTAAACAACAGATGGCATTAGAACAACAGTACTGAATATGATATGTACAACTACAGATGAGTCACAGGCAAAAGCTTAAAAAACTATTTCAGTCTAAATGTGTGCTGTACATAATTACAGACAGCTCAAACTAACAGCGGGATTACCATATAAACATAAACAAACAAAAACTTTTGTTATTCTTGTTAGTCTTCAGATTCAATTCAGTCTTTATTGAAAATAATGTTACTTCAATGTAAAGTAATTGAATACCTTTCAATTTTGGACCATTTCACGTGGAATACAGGCCTTTTAGGGTAAACAGAGGGATTTCCATGTGTTTTCTTCACTGTTTTGTGTTGGCTTTTAAATTATTAACTACAAATGAGTTCCAGTTTAATTAGCGACTAATGCATGTGATTACAATGAGGGATTATTATCAAAGAAAGCAGTTATCCAATCATTAAAAATAGTTTTCTTCTTCAGTGAAACTAGAGGTTAAGACTTATCCTGCCATGCAATGAAAAGAGATTCAAAAACACCTTAATAAAATCATTCCTGTACAAGTAATCACTGCTGGGATTCATGCATCTGTTGCATTGTTTGGTTCTGATATCACATTTATCAAGTTGACATCCTAAAACACAGAGCTGTGGCTCAGTAAACTAATAATATTATACTCCGAAAAAAAAATGTGCAAAGGGTTTAAGCAAATAGACTGCACGTCCCTCAAAGTTGACACAAGTGTAGTACAAAGATATACTGACCGCTGGAATTCTTTGTGCACCCACTGCTCCCACTGCACAATTTTCCTGAACAGGAAATTTTCTTTTTTCATAGTAAAGTATATTGATGACTGTACTTGGTTGTAATTTGTTGGCAGATTCTTTATTGGTAATTACAAAATTCTCCACCTTAGGGGTAAAGTAGTGCACCTAGGAGAGCATTTTTACATACTTTGATTGACTATGCTAAAGTAAAAATTAGGAATCCCTAAAAATAAATACTGCAGCCTCATTTCCAATTCAAATCATCACCACTGAATATCATCTACCTGATTTAAAACTTTTAAGAGACTCGGATTCTCTGGTTCTATAATTGGAGCTACAATCTGTTTTAGAGTTCAGCCATATATTTTTATGTTGGCGTAAATGTCTTCGTCAAATGGAAGTGCAAATGGGTTAACATATAACTTATGTCCTTTTGGCTGTTTTCCAATGTGATTATTGGCAGCTCTTTAAAAGCACTATGCTGGTGGCTGTTTTAACAGTATTGGGTATTAGATATTTGTTTGTCAGAAGACAGAACGAGACTGTGGGCATCCCTTGGGTTTCCCTATGGGACCAATTGAAGGATTCTCCTACAGGCAGATGGCTATCTGCATGCCTTTATACTAGTGTCTGTCTCATGATGCTATCATTCTAGTAGACACACTAACAAGAACATTTGTACATAGAAGGATGAAGACACATAAAAATAGGGAGAGTCGACTTCAATGATGTAGCAGCAGGTTTAGTTTTAAGTTGCTCTTGAATTACAAACACAGGATTTATTTAACCATATGCAAAAACAGGTACTGCACTACATGAAAGAAACTAAACTTCAGCATTTATTTCAAAGTTGAAAGTTATCATGGAGAAAATGGACTGTGGCATTTATGCAGGAGACAATTATTCACATTCACATTCAACCATCAGATTCTGATGGCTGAGTCTATTTGCGATAAAAGTGCTGCAAATACATCTCTTTGTTTTTTCCCCAGTCTCTCCTCTAATGCTGTGCAGTGGGTGGGGTCTGAACAAATGAGTGACGGCTCATGCGTTGTGCCTCCGCTCTGATCCATCTGGGACTCACCGTTAACTGCCTGTGCTGCTGCAGAGCTGTCTTTTCCTGCCCCTTACCCCCCTACACACACACACAAACACACACATACACACACTCATTATCCTTATCTGTACCCCCCCCCCCCCCTTTTTTTTTTTTTTCTAGTTTTCTGTATGCAGTCTGCATCTTTACTCGTTCCACTCCCTGCTAACGGAGGTGGGCAAGCTTCCCAGTGCTGGTGCATCTAGCAGGTGCAGCCTCTTTCTCTCCTCCCACCCTTGCTCTCTGCCTCTCTCTGTCTGTCTCTCCCTCTCACTCTCTCTCTTCTCTCGCTCAACCAGTGTGCACTCTGCTCTGTCTGTGCCTGCATTTTTTCTCCCTTCTCTTTCGTTCTTGGTCTCTCAGTGGCGGCAGCTCAGGGAAGCAGCTGCATGTTTGTCTGCATCCCAATTGCCACAGGTAAAGACAGCTGTATCATCTGATGTTGCTAACCCCGAGGGGGGTTGGGGAGCCTTTGCTGCTGCGGCTGCAAGTTGTCATCCCGGTGCGGGGCGCACATTTCTAATCATCTTGAAGAACGCATCCTAGAGGGAACGACGAGCAGAGGACCCCAGCAAACAGACCAACAAATCACACGCTGACTGGAAAGAGCACAGGCTTCCAGGGACTGAGGAAAATATAACACTTCTCAGAAAAAGAATCAGTGGGATATATTTTCAACATTGTGGTGTCCTGTTTATGATTTTCCTCTTTCCTCGTGTTTTCTATTCTTTTGCTTTCAATTCTTTTTGTCTTTTCCATGCTTCTCATCCTCTTCCTCTCACAATTTATTCCTCTGTGCCGGAATGCTCCCTGCAAATAGATGAGAAGAGGCTTTCTGTGCGCTTGCTGCAGTATTAACAAACAGTACACTGAGTCAGTAGAGAGCTGAGCGGACAGCTTGGAGGAATCTGATCCACAGCCGGCTGGAGAAGGAGCAGGATCACGCGTCGCAGTTGCAGATTTATCCGCCCTGTGATACTGTGCAACAACACCCCTCATTCTTTTCCCCCCACCATCCATCTCTCTGTCCTCATCTTGAGTGTCTGTGAGTGTTATTTTTTGAGTGGATCAAGAAAATTAATTGGATTCTACTGCTTTATTTTTAGCCTTATTGGAATATTGTAAATATAAAAAGGAGCAAAGGGGGTTTGGATTTTTTAGGTGAAACGGAGGAGGCTGCTTGAAAAGCAATGGGAGAGAAAGATTAGCAGATTATCATAGGAGAGTGTTGAAAAGACGCATAAGCGATACACGTCTTAGTGAGCACTCTTTTTTAGTTATGAAAGAGACAGATTTTGGGATGTGAAGGACGCTGACTCGGCTAAAGCAGTCGGAACAGACTGCATCAGGAAACATTTTTTTTTCTTTTTTTCGGTCCTGCCCAGGGTGGGGAAGCAACTAGACCCACCCTGCAAGTTTAACTCTCTGATTCGATATTACTGTCCCGTCGTGGATTCTACATGGAGGGGACACATTCGGCATGTTAAGGAAAAGTGTTTTGGATTCTTTTTCTCCTTTTTTGCTGCAATGGCATCCAAATACTGATGCCATGGATTTCCTACACGTACAGATGTAAATCTGTTTCTTCCCATCCATCTCTCCCTTCCATCTCTCCTTGTTACTCCCTATTAGAGGCATCACTTCCATTTTTCCTCTTGTTAACCCTGCTGTGAAGACTATTGGAGTTCACTGTTGCTTCAGCTGGACATTGAGAGTTGAGCAGGACTAAACACGGACTAAACACTTATACATCTTTGCCAGCTCTTCAATTTTTCTCTGGGTGTCTCTGCGTGTGAGTGTGTGTGCTTGAGCGTTTGTGATTGTATGTATGCATGTACCTCCTGCAGCCTTTTTCCTCTCTGTCCATCCTTGGAATACATATTTTTGTGTGTGTGTTATTGAGAGGCAGATTCTGTGGGTTCCATTCCTTCAAATTTCCATTCGTTTTTTTCTTCTGGCCTTGTTGGAAACCTTTCTGCCATGTGCAAACGATGCCTATCACAGAGTTAACCCTTAATGAGCCATAAAGGACGACAGGGAATGATGAGTGAGTGTTCTGGGGCAGCTGCATCTGGGGCAGTAATCCTGGAAGAACCTGAAGGTTCGGGAGCTTCTGCGGGCCGTGGGGAGGGCCAGGCCCAGGAACAGGGTCCCCTTCGCTGTGCAGTTTGGCCTCGCCAGCAGACATGGCTGTGTGTGGTTCCATTACTTATTGGTTTTATTGGCCTTGGATTGAGCCTGATGCTGCTGAAATGGATTGTTGTTGGTACAGTGAGGGATTACGTCCCAACAGATCTAGTGGATGCAAATCGAATAGGACAAGATCCCATCTTCCTCTCCAAGCCAAGTGGGATTCCCAAGAGCCCCGATACTACCACTACTACAACTACTCCTACAATCGATAGCAGGAACCCCACTGCTAGAACTGCTACTGTGGCAAAAGGTAGAACTCGCACTACTGCTACCACCACAACTATAAATGCTAGAGGGGGCGGGGCGTCAGGCAGTCAGGTAACTCCTCGGAATCCTGGAAGTCGTAATGGACGTGGACCTTCAGGTTTTACCACAACTACTGCAGCACCACGTACAACTTTCATAATTGGAGCTGCAACATCTAGCTCCTCACCGCCCAATCCGACGGTTCTTCATGACTCTACACAGATGTGGACGGCAGAACATACTACTACAGAGACGATCTCCACCACACTCACTACACGTACGCACAGTCACCGCAAAACCCGTAAGTCTTTCATATACTACTGACTTGTGTTGTGTTTCAAAAGCTCCACTGATTGGTTAATCATCACTAAATATGACATCTGAACTTTTTTTTTTTTTTAAACGTGATCTTATGGTTTCTTCCAAAACTTTTTTTTTTTTTTGCAATTTACGTGCATGACCTTCCTGTTTTGGAAATAATGTTCTTGATTGGTTTTATAGTCAAAACATTGAAGATGAGTGATCAATAGTATTGATTGGCATAGCGAGGGTTTCTAAGTAGTAGTCAATAATCAAGTTTAGGTATCATTTTGGGTATATATAGGTTTGGAGGGGTTTTTTTTGTGTTTCTCTAATAATCAAATGATCTTAAAATTCTTTTGCAAACAAACTACATGAAAAGATCTTCTGCAGCATCCTGAGTAACTTGAATAGAAATTTATTCTGATGCATTAGATGGTGAATCTTTCCCTTCTGTTTTTACCTCTGTCGTGCTCATACTATTGATTTGTGCTACGGGGAATTTTCTTGCAGCAATCAATGAAGCACACATCCGCACGCAGAGACACACGCACACACACACACGTCTTCCTCCATGACAAATTTCTCAGCTCCCAAAATGGTGTCACATTGTGTGCTGAACCTTCATCTGCTTGTTATGTCCCTGTTTCTGATCTGGGCTTTGGACTACGCTCACAGCTTCACAGTCACAGGAGTTGCTTTATTTTTAACAGTGTGATCTCATGCACTGCATGTATCAAGTCTCTCGCATCTGTGCAGAGGGGTACAAAGCCTCACAAAGAAAAAACTCAAACCTAGCATGTATTTCGTGGTTTTTTTAGCTGATGTGGGTTCCTATATTTCATATGCTGTTTATTCCTTCCTGCAGTTTAACACTGTAGTTAACTTTCAGTTGACATAATATCAGTTAATGAGTTAATGCCAACGCCATGATCAATTACTTGTGAACTAATAGATGAGAGTGCATGTCATATATTGTTTATCATAGTATACATCATCAAGTATTTTGGAATGTATGATGCACACAATGCCCCCTATTATATTATGATAATTACATGTTGACAGTCATTTTTTAAGTATCTGATAAACAAAATCACTCCATTCCACCTTGTGTCTTGACTGCAAAGGTGCAGCTGCTTCTTTTGTATCCATGATAATGAAAATGTCCCCAGATTACATGAGAGACCAGGGAATGTTCCCTCTGATAATTAGAAACATAGAGGAAAAATTGTGTATCATTTCATTACCAGGAAGAAAAATGGGAGCCATTCATCATCATCAGTTCATTTATTAATTAACCATTAAAAAGGAATGCCATTTCTCCACCAAGTGAAAACCATTAAGCTTCGGTGATAGATATCCTAGGGAAAATGTCATTCCTTCACCAGCTCGCCCAAGAAAGTTCTGGCGTTGCACAATTGCCAACTTGTTCGATAATCCTAAACACCCTCCACCCTCCCACCTCTTCTATTCTACCACCCACATGCTGCTTTGATTTGAAAAGGCCATCATTTTTACATTAACTATCCATTATGTGTAAATGCGTTATATAATATGACTGAATTGGCTGTGTTGGCTTGTGCTCAGAAACTGGAGAATTAAAGTATAGCGGGCCATCTGTGTGTTCTTATCAATGCTCTCCCTTCCTTTGTAGGTCACAAAATTAAGAGTGACACAGATTTGTATCTCACACTGGGCTGTGGTGCTGTAACTGATCTGTTAAGTGAGCAAAATAGTATGTTGCCGTGCACACGCTCTCAATGTAAACTTAAGATCCCAGATGTAAAAGTAGAGCATACCTAAAATATTGGCTAATTTTTTGTTATTTTATTTTCATGACTAAAAGCATTTTTTATAATAAAAAATTATTTACTAGGTTTCTAATATTATTGTTAATGTAAACACAGAAATCTATATAAATAATTTATTTTCTTAAAAAACGTTCGCCAAGCACAAAGCTCCAAGGAAAATAAAAAATAGGCAGTTATAAGCCTTTTTAGAGGGGGTCTAAAGTAATTCTCAAGTAATACTTAAGTATTTCAGCTATTCGTGGGCGGTTGGGTCCTTAACCACCGCGAATACCGGGGGTTAACTGTACTTTCATCCGCAGAACTCCTGATGCTTTTTAGCTTTAAGGGATATTTGGTGACATTCTAGCTTGTCAGTCAAAAATTCAGGGTCTGGCAACTACAGGAAGATATTATAGTTAGCAAGTGTCACTTTGCAAGAGTGACTGACATATCTAAATCTGTCGCAAAATCTTAAGTTATCCCTATGCTTTAAGCTGTAGAAAAAAAGAAACCTAGGATAAAAGATATCATTAAAAGGAGCCGAGTGACCTCTGTGATACAGGGCAAAATGTCACTAATCCCAGTGGGATAAAATGAACTGAAAACTGGATATGTGTTAATTTAACTAACTGTAACTAGTGCTTCAGATATAATGAACTAGAAATCAAAACATATACAAAATAAAAATAACACGTATTAGTAAAGAGTAGCAGATGAGACTATGTAGTCATGAGTAAATCCATGAAAATGTTGATTCAGTGGTGAGAATAGACCAGGACTTTGTGTTTTTGTGTATGTGTGTGAGAGACATGCCACAAACACAAATGAGAGAGAGCGATAATGATACATTCAGTAGATTCTGATTTTTGATTGTTCTTTACGAAATCATTTTCAGTGTTAAGCTTCAGAAGATGTCGTAGTGCAGTCTGAGGTCTTTGTCTCCATGCTGAGCCACTCAGTGGGATTAGGTAACAGTCAAACACAGGCCCTGAAACCTAAATCCAGATTAACAGCCCATCACCATGACCATGGAAGCAACAGAATTACATCAGCCCACCTATCAGTCACATGCATTCTACACAGACTTACAAGCAGCAGCCTAACTCCTGCAGGATTGTTTTGATATATGATCTGTGGCGGGATGTTTTTCATTAAATGATGTTGAGGTGACATGTTTAAGGCAGCGTTTTGTCTTAGCCATGTTTTAGGATCCCTCAGGGGTACTGTGAAGCAGTCTGGGGAAGTAGTTTATGCTTATGTTAACAACACAGATATGACAATTACACAGAGTGAAGTTGAGTTTATAGCTTCATTCTGTGGCAACAGTATGATGTAGGGAAGTTGTATCTGTTTGTAGTGTTTATGACAAACATATATATTTTAAATATGCACATTTTACAGAAAAGAAATCGACTTATTTCTTTGTGCAGATTCTATTATTTCATCTGGCCAGAGCCTTTTATGAGGACCTGTTTATGGTTAGCATATAAAATAAAAGGATAGTTTCTGGGCTGAGCTCTGGTTAAGAGAGATGCTTTTCGTCCCCTGTGTGGAAATGTGAAACATAGTTGTTTTTCGTCCAAGTTGTCTGATAATGCTCTTGAGGTTTAATAAGATACACATTCCATGGTGGTGTTGGCATTCCTAGCATCCCAGTCTATCTTTAACCTCTCAATCATTACTATCATTCAAGACAGAAGAGTTAGTGCTATTATTGTTTGGATTTCAAAGTCGTTGTTTCCTAAAAGAAACAAAATATAAATTAAATGATCAATTTTGAAAGTATTCCATTCATATATTTCTTTCTAAATGTATCTGTTCAGTCACTCATTTCATCTCCCATTTAATCTGATGACGAGATCTCAACAGTAAATTAATCAGAAAATTAACTTCAGCTTTCGTCACCTCTGGCCAACGCCAGCGGCATCACTGTACATGTTTGCATTACACTAATCATCTCAGAGGGAGAGCTTTTCAGTTTTAAACCAGATTTTCCTTTTTAAACCAGATTGTACAGTTCGCGATCTTTACATTTGGATTAGCTGTCTGGAAGCTGCTTAGGAACAAGTTCCCAATGGGGTTTTTCTATGTACTCTATGTGTGCACTGTATTCATTGATGCCTGTGCCACAGCAGCCTATGACTAAATACAGCTATATATATTTAATGCATTTGAACTAGCTGCGACCACTTGTGTGAATAATAACAGAAATAAGCACCGTTCTAGAAGTCTGATTGCCTCCTTTGCAAAGAAATAACTTTTCTGCACAAAATTACAGCTTATGGTTGATGAAATGTGCTATCCAATATTCTCTTGTGCCCTGTAAGAAATGTGTTATATTTTCTCAAGAATTCTGCCAAACGGTTGAGGTTGTTACTTTACTGGGTTATCTGAGGTCTAAGCAAAAGAGAGAGAGAGGGGAAAAAAAGATCCCATATTTGTAATCAGTGGGCGGGCAACTGCACTGAGCCCCAGACTCCCATGGGCCCAGAAAGTCTCAGCCATCTGTTGTTAAGTTGATAAGCTGCAAATTTTGTTTTGGAATTTGTCATCTAATATTGAATTTAATCCATCGATGATGCCATAGCTTATATATTCTATGGCAATCCATAGCATTAATATTAATGTATCTTCCATGTAACGTGACATACCCCTATCTTACTGACTGCTTTGATACACACAAATGTAGCTATATGTGTGTGTGTGTGTGTGTGTGTGTTTTCCTTGTGATCCACCTTGAGTGGGATGGATATAACCAAACACTGATCAAAGCACCTTGAAGTTTTTTGCTGATGCAGGCTGCAGTGCTTGACCACTAACCGATCACCTGAAAACCTGTCATCTCATCTATTCAGAGTTTTAATTTGCTCGAGATGCTGCGCAAACAAAGCTTAACATGCCTTTGATTCATTATGATGAAATGTCTTGCAGGGAGAAGAGTGATGAAATTTTAATGATGCGAAAGAGAAACATGTTCAATATGTAGTGGAAAGTGTAAATAATTGAAAATGGCCCTTTCACGAATCATCCCATACTGAGTAATTCCCCACTTCAGTGAATGCAGGTGTTTAGGGTTCTTTCACTTTTTGCAATGGGCGAAATTGCTTTCGGTGGTGAGGAAAATAAGACTTAAAGGTTTAAGAATTTTTCAGAAATGTTTACCAAGGTTGAAAGTCTCCATCCGCCTCACTTCCTTTTTCCTGTTCGCCAT